AAGTATTAGTTATAATATTTATTTGGCTTTTGTGAATAATATGTTAGTTTAAACATGTCTTCTCCTAAGGTAAAGTGAAATAATTGTATGTGTTTTCTTATTTTTGTGGTCCTTTCCACCTAATTTTCTCCACAGTTTATTTATTTTCAGTGTGCGTGGGATTGTACAAAGAAATAAACAATTGTAAGGAATAGTGTAATAAAAAAGTTCTATAGAAAGAAGTTCTATCTTTGTAGACAAGATATAGTTATTTCCCTGAGGGGGAGAATAATTGCAGCAGCACAGTGTGGAGGTTTTCATATCTTGAAAAAAATCTTGTACTTCTGAATCAGTTATTTTCCATATGTGAGGACGACTCTGAAACTGCCAAATATTCTTGAAGGGATTTCTGCTAGTTTGGTAAAATGGAATTCAAGATTATACAAATCCACACAACTTCTTTTACTACAGCTATTGTCAGTAACTGATAAAGAAGCCTACTCCTGCTTGCCTTAAGTGTGTATTTTGCTGGATTTGGTGGTGGTCAGTGGTGACAGACTGCCATCAGACTTCTGCGAAACGGATCCAACTTTCAGTGTGACTTAATGCAAGAAAAAAAAAAAGTCCTTTTTGCAATCTCTTTTGGTAGTAGTCAGACTGGGAAAGATGACCCCTATCCCCACTATCATTACTTTGTTTTCTCTACCCATTCATCCCATCCCATGTGGCTCTGGAATATCAGCACACTAATCTGTCTGCTTCAGAAACGGAGTGCCACACAGGATCTGTACGGCTGTGTGTACAGTGCCTAATGCAGCAGAGCCCTGACTGCAGTGGCTGTGGGAGAGTGGCCTTGGGGGATGATGAGTTCTTTCAGCGAAGGTGCTTGGGAAGGCACATTCATGCATCTTGGATTCAGCAGATCCAAGAAGGGGGAGGCAGAAGGTTGGTTACCCAAGGTAACGTAGTGTGAGTCTGGAATTACTGGGTGCCAAGTATGGTCATTACAGATCTCCAAATCACAAGGAAGGTCACCAGAAGTGAATGGGTACAGCGAAGCTCAGCTGTTTCCTTCCAAAGCCTCACACATCCATCCAGGCCTGACTAGATAGTCTGACCATCTGAGTTCCTTGGAAGTGAGTGTTAAGTATCTACACGAAGAGAGTGAGCAGGACTTGTCCTTTCGTGAAACGTTATTAATGATATTTATACTGTGGTAACACTCAGGAACAGTTGAGGCCTCAGGATATTAGTACAAACTGTAAAGTAATTGCAGTTTCTGCCTGAAGGAACAAACAACAGTCAGGGGGTTGGAAGGTACAGTTCTGCTGGAAAATAGCATGCAGAAATGATACATCTACATGGTCTTACTCTGCAAATCACATATGTATTCAGAGTCATGTGTGCCATATACTTTAGTGACACAATAATAAACATCAATGACTTCTTTTTCCTACTCTGATGACAGTTAGACTAAGGTGGTTTCTTTTGTTCAAAAGAAATACTCTCCACATTAGTCATGTTACCTGTACAGAGCTATGGCTAAAGGTGTAATTTAGACTGCAAAGTACAGGACTTTTTTTCAGATAATTGTATAGTACAGAAAGGGAAAAGAGCAAATACAGGTCTCCAGCTGATTCTCAGTTTACAAGAAATTATAGACTGCTTTTCCTCCTTTAGCTTAAAAGAAGTTTGAAGTAATATTACTGAAGCTAATGGAGGTACAGTACTGTAAAAGCTTTCTTAAATAGCTAAAATTGAGGCTAAATACAGCATTCAGCCTTGTCAAACTCAAATGTTATATGTGAGCTCCCAAACCAGCCTTCCTTACAAGCCAAGACTTGCTGCCTGGTGGATCTGCAAGATCACCAAGGCCGTTTACTGACCCTGTAGCTGGACACATGAGGCATTGCTGATCATGCTCAACTATTGCCTGGCTAATGAGGACATCTAGTCACAGGGAGATGTGGTGGCACTGTGATATGCTTATTCCTGGCTCAGCGATCACCTGGGCTCAGATGACTTCACCGTCAGCGTAACTGCACATCTTCACTGAAGTGTCCTGCAAATGTCCCTGCCTTGCCCTGCGAGCCTATGCACCAAACACATCATCCATGAGACACAGGGCAACAGCTGTTTGACAAAAAGAACGGTGGAGGTCTGAGTGCTGCCAGCTTTGACAGCTCAAAACAATTGTCCTTCCTCGTTCAACTCATGGGACTGACCCCAAAGTCACGAGACTTGTGCAAAAACATGTATGGCAGTTTAGTTGTTCCTTTTATTTTGGTTTGAATTATGCTATTTTGGTTCTTCTTGTAGAGACTCACACTCTCAAACTGGTTTTTCCCTTGTCTATTAAGCCCTAAAACCTTGAAGCAGTCCTGTGATCTCATCAGGACAGCAGTTCTGCCTCCTGTATCTGTCCTTCTCCCAGTCTTCCAGCCAATTCTGCCTGCCTCAGCCTCACCCTTACAGCAGAGCGTCCAGAGGTCTGCCCCTCTGGTGGGAGGTGTACAGACTAAGGAACTTTATGTTTCTTTATGTCCACCTTTTAGTCACAAACCACAGGGGACAGAACAGAAACAGTGTGAACTGCTTTGCCAGCTCTTCTCCAAGAGGGCTGTGCCTGAAAGGTGGTGTGAGATACTAATTCCTGTCTGTCACTACTAACTCAGTGTCTTTTCCACAGGAGCTGGGGAGGCAGCCAGAACAGGTTTCCCACAAGCAGTGACACCATTTACTAAAGAAGCCTTATAACTTTAGTAGTCACCTGGTTTGATTTTAAAAGGCCAGCATCTGTCTGTTTTGTGCTCGATTAACTTTTTGTCCTTTGGAAGCAGAAACTTCTACATGTGAAGAAATTTTGAGCTGAGATTTAGTCTGCAGTGGTGGTTCACTGAAGTCCTCTTTTAGCTGTTAAACTTCTGTGCCCAACCTGATGTATTACTGCAGCCAAACCTGGTCCCTAACATCTAAGACCTTGTGGAGAAGAAGGAGGGGGAGGAAGGGAGGAAGCAAAACCAGATAGCAGACAAATGGAAAAGTGTGGATTTCCTTGCTAGAAAAAAAAACAAAAGAGAACACGGAAAATCAGATCTGCCATGTAAATTTGTGAGGGGTGCTTGACCTTTAGTAATTAATTTCAGATAATGCTAAATATTTTTTCAGGAATGTTTTTATACCTCAGTGATTCTATGCAAGGCATCCACCTTTGTGGATATATTTCCCTTGAGGTACCTTACCATTTGCTGTACAGTAGCCAGTAATACACCACATTTGTCCCCTGCTTGACATGACTTAAACCTCACATTTCTTAAAAGCAACAGGCATCTGCTGTGGAATGATGCAGTTTTTGTCCTCTGTTCCACAAACCCAGCCACACAGGGAGTTGTGATCTCATTCTGGAAAACTTCTGAAGGACACTGGCCTTATGCAGAGCAACATCCTGAATACCACATCAGTTTCTCTCCACTTTCTCAGCCCTCACCTCCCCACACTGGTTTCAAGGTGTTTTTCAGTTCCCTAAATACTGTAAAAACATTTAGCATAGTTGGGATTCACAGTAATTAACCTTTGGAAGGCTGAACAGTTCACTTGCTGGGAATGTCTTCCAAGTTAAGAAGTTAAGATGTATATGTTTGCTACTAGAAGAGGCAGTGGTCTCACAGTTAAATTCCCAGTTAACTTCAAACTGGACCTCTGAAACTTTTAGGCTTTATCTCAGTTTTTCTCTGAAGCATCACAGAGTTTCATTCTGATTTAACCCACCTTGGATATAGAATACCCAAGTACCTGTGGCATGTTCTTTTCAAACACTGGGTTTCAATTCAGACCACTGGAGGCACAGGAACATAAGCCTTTAACATTGATGTGGATCCCTTGCACTGTGACTGTAGCAAGCTTCAAACTCTGATCTATTTAAAACGTCTATTTATTTTTGAGCAGTTTTAAATAGATGAGAACTAAGGAGGAAGGGACTGTTGTGCTCCTAACACTGGCTCTTGCCTAGGATCGAGTCAGTGTAAAACCCTCCTGCTCCCCTCGCCGGCTGTGTAGCCGTGCCAAGAGCATTTAAGAGCAAGATCTCGTCAGTTTGGAGCCGGGGTCAGTGTCCTTAAAGCTTTGGAAAGGAGCAGAGGAGAACCCTGGGAGGAGGACCTGAATTCCAAGTTATTCGATTTGCAAACTGATTCTCCACAAAGTTTCTTGGAAAGAATTCGGACACATCAGCTTCTGAGTATTTTAAAAGATGTAACCTTCGGGTTATTTTGTGAACTTTGTTTTGTTTACAGTGCTAAAGGGTGAGATTGGTTAAGACACACAGGAGAAAAACGTGGGCAGTTTTGCTTACACGTTAATTACGAGTGTACAGTTGCGGTTTGTATTTCATTCTTCACTAATACATACTGCCTTAAAGAGAAACAATGAAGAATATGGTCCCTCCTAATCCCGCTAAGAACAACCTTTGGCTCTCAGCAGGCTGAGACGGAGGAATGTACTTACCTTTACCGTGTTGCAAGTGCTTTCATCGAGTTCCCACCTTACACACTGAAGCACGAATACTACGCTTTCGAGGCTTTAAAGCCTCACCTCTGTTCATTAAAACAGACCAGAGAGGCTCAGCTGTTGCCGAAGCAGAGGTACGCTGCCCCAGCAGCTCGGGCAGCCGTGTGGGACCCTGGCACACGGCAGGTCGGCGCCCCAGGTTCGAGCAGGTATTTCCGAGGCTCGCTCCGCGGCCGGGACCCCTCGGCCGGGACCCCGCGGCCTCCCCCGCCCCGCCCGCGGTCACCTGGCCCGGCCGGGCCCCCTCCCGCGCCCCGGGAGCGCCCGTGACGTCACGGCGGCCCCAGATTGGCTGCGCGGGGCCGGCACCGGGGCACCCTCCCCCCCCCCCCCCCCCCCCCACCCCCCGGGCCC